ACGTTTACTAAAACCCCATTTTTTCACACCCAAATCTTTATTTTACTCCCTAATCCTTAATTTAACTTTATAGTCCCCTTTTCCTCCCTAGCTTATCCTTAAACTTTTTTTGCTACTCCTTTTTAGCTCTAATTTTATTTAAACCCCTGACCTAATCCCATTTATTCCCTTCCATTGAAACTCTCCCACCCCCTTCAGCTTTGTTTACTTTAAAACCAGGACATCCATTTTCTTCTCATTCATAAAATCCACATCATCTCTTTCTTTTAATTTGCACAACATCCCCGCACATTCAGACTTCCCTTTTACAATTTTTTTTCTTCTTATTCTTTTTTGTATCTTTACAGGAAAAAAGGGGGTTTCAGCCCTTGTTTTTCCGGCATTTAGTTGACTTTTTCAACACGATGGTTACGGGGAAAGATTCTTATTCCCTTCCCCCTGGATATAAAAGGGGAAAAATAATAAGACCCAAAAACTATTAAGATAAAATCAAGAAACTCAATGAGGGTTTTAAAAATAAATGTGTATATGTATGTGTAGTGTTACCTAAGTGTTTAGAAGTAGCAAGACATGCCTGTAATCTTGCATCTTTATGAAGACAGTACAAAAACACCCAGCAATCCGACCATCATGTAATTCAATTACAGGCTTTCGTTTTACACTCACTTGGCAGGACGGTAGTTACCTCCCTGGGTGGTTGCTGTCTAACCAACCTACTACCTACAAAATAAAAATAACTAATTTAAATATATATAAATATATATATAATATAGATATTTATAAATATATATATAAATATATAAAATGAATGATGATTAAAGAGAGTAGGTAAGGGAGAAAAAGTTAGCAATATGAAAATTTTTACAAAGTTAAAGTGATGCAAGGAGGGAAGAGTATATGGAGAAAAAAGAGAGGTTAAGAGAGTGGTGAAGCAATGTAAAAAGAGAGGCAAATGAGAGAGTGGGTGAGATGTTATCAAACAAATTTTGTGAAAATAAGAAAAAGTTTTGGAAGTGAGATTTAAAACAAGTTTAAGGAAAGCCTATGAGAACAAATGGATTTGTCAGTATAAATATAGGAGAGGAGAGTATTAATGAGAGTTAGAGGTATTGGGAAGATGGAGGGAATATTTTGAGGAATTGTTAAATGTTGATGAAGATAGGGAGCTGTGATTTCGTGTATAGGACAAGGAGGAATAACATCTTGTAGGAGTGAGAAGAGCCTAGTAGTTGTGATGTGGGGCAGTTCGTGAAGGCAGTAGGTAAAATGAAAGGGGGTAAGGCAGCCGGGATTGATGGGGATAAAGATAAGTAATTGTTAAAAAGCTGGTGGGGAATATTTGGAGTGGTTGGTGCAAATTATTTAATAAATGTATGGAAAGGGTAAGGTACCTATGGATTGCAGAGAGCATGCATAGTCCTTTGTAAAAAGTGCAAAGGGACAAAAGAGAGTGCAAAAATTATAAGGGGGATAAGTCTGTTGAGTCAGTATTAGAGTATGTAGGAAAGAGGGAAATTATTTCCCAGTAAAGGTGGGCCTTAGACAAGATGTGTGATGTCAACCCGTGGTTGTTTGATATATTTATAGATGGGGGTTGCAAGAGAGTAAAATGCGAGGGTCTTGGCAAAGGCGGGGAGTTAAAAGAATGAAGACATCAACACATAAAGTGGGAGTTGTCCACAGTTGCTCTTTGCTGATGTCTCTGTGCTCTTGGGATTCTTGAAGAGAAGTTGCGAGAAGGGGATGAAATTTGGTAGGTGTGCAAAAGAAGAAAATTGAAAATTGAATACAGTAAAGAGTAGGTTTATGGAATAACAAAAAGATTAGGTGATGAAAGATTGGATATCAGATTGGGAGGGAGAGAGTTATGGAGAAGTGAATGTATTCAGATATTTGGGAGTGACTGTCTGCGGATGTCTATAAAGATGAGGTGAATCATAGAATTGATGAGGGGAAAAAGGGTGAGTGGTGCACTTAGGAGTCTGTGGAGACAAAATCTTTGTCCTTGGAGGCAAAGAGGGGAATGTATGAAGTATGATTTTTACCAACGCTCTTTTTAGGGTGTGAAGCATGGGTGATGAATGTTGCAAGCGAGGAGAAGGCTGGAGGCAGTGGAGATGCATGAAGAGAGCCAATGTGTGGTTGAATATAATGCAGAGAATTTCGTAGTTTGGAAGTTAGGAGGAGGTGCTGGGATTACCAAAACTGTTGCCAGATGCTGAGGAAGTTGTTGAGGTGTTCGGACATGGTGGAGAGAATGGAGCGAACAGAATAACTTCAAGAGTGTATCGTCTGTAGTGGAAGGAAGGCGGGGTAGGGTTTCGGCCTAGGAAAGGTTGGAGGGAGGGGGTAAAGGAGGTTTTGTGTGCGAGGGCTTGGACTTCCAGCAGCATGCGTGACGTTTTTGGATAGGAGTGATGGGAAACAAATGGTTTTTTTAAAATTTGACGTGCTGTTGGAGTGTTGAGCATGTAACATTTTAATGAAGGGGTTCCAGGGAAACCGGCAGGCCGACTTGAGTCCTGGAGATGGGAAACAGTGCTGCACTCTGAAGAGGGGGTGTTAATGTTGCCGTTTAAAACTGTAGTGTAAAGCACCCTTCTGCAAGACAGTGAATGAGTGAATGATGTGAAAGGATTTTTCTTTTTCGGGGCCACCCTGCCTTGGTGGGAAATCGCCAGTTGATATAAAATAAAAATAAATATATAAAATATATATAAAAATACATTACCTATAATAATAGTAATCTAATAACAACTTATAACTACTTACAAAAAACCACCACACTTCCAGTTCACATTAGCTCACTACATACTGCTACTAATGAGTTAAACAAAATAAAATGAACATTTATGAACAGGGGGAGGCTCCATGAACATGCCCCTCCTGCATACTACTTAGAGCCTATGGTGGAAAAGGTTAAATACTCTCCAAAACACAGCCCCTGCATACTAGGCTTACGAAAATAAACATGAGAGCACTTAAACACAAACACCTATGGTAGGACCTAAAACCATATCCAAAAATACCTACTCAAACTAGCTGCCCAAACATGATGACTTTACCCCTGTCACATACGTCGTCATCGTAATGAACTGCACACCCTCATCTGCTCCTGTCCTGGTCACTCCCAGACCCGATAGGAATAAAGTGCGTTTGCTTTCATGGAATAATACACGTCCACTTTCAGTATACTATATGGAAAATGACATTATATATGGAGCGTTATTTTATATAAATATATTTTTTACAGTACTCCATAACAGTACCTAAATAATGTATGTTAGAGCTGATTTCCTCTATTCTGTTTATTACAGTATACAGTACACTAATGTATAAACATTTAAAAATATACTAAAAATGTTAGAAATGGTGCAAAGGTGACATTAAAACAGTATCAAAGATGGTTATCATAAACCCACTACCATTGTAGTATGCTCTTTGCTTAGCAATGAATTTGTTTACTGACGTGGTCTTAGGAACAGAACTCTGTCATTAAGTGAAGTGAGGCTGTATTGCTAAACCTTAAAGAATGCTAAAAATACATTTTAATCATATTTTTTTAAAGAATAATGAATGCCATTAAAAAAGTTATGACATATGTGACGTTGCTGAGTGACATAAAGTTGGACTTAATGAAGTTCGCTGAACTGAAATTTACTCTAGAAAAGTGGTGTAAAGGTGAATTTGACATAGGCCAAAATGACGTAAAGTGGGGTATGACTGTGTACTGTAAAAGTTGTGATTTTAGGTCACATTTTGTGTACCTGATAAAGCCAATTTGTGGTGAAACAGTGTGCAATGAAACCTCTGACTCTTCTGCAGTCATTGTCTTACTAAAGAAGGAAATATTGTCCCATTTGAAGCTTCTGTTGCAGCATGTCTTTTCTCCACAGGAACTTTTTGTCAAAAATAGTGAATAACCAGATGATTCCAGTGATTTGTACAGTAAACAAATATTTGAGAAGTGGGGAGTGCTCTGGTGAAGAAGAAATACTGTAGTATATTATCATTAATTTTTCTTATTTTATTATCAGTTATTATTATTACAGTTGTATTATATTGTCAGTATTGCTGTCATTATAGTACAGTGGACCCTCGACCAACGATGGCATCGTCTAACGTTAAATCCGACTAGCAATACATTTTAACGCAAAAATTTTGCCTCGACTAGTTTTTAATACTTGACGTGCTGTTGGTGGGAATCGGCCAGTGTGATAATAATAATAATAATAAAAAACTGAGAGTTTTACATTGAGCAATCACTGCACTTAACTTCTTACATGTACAGTATATCCATATTTACTGAATTATTCTTCAGGTGATTTATATTGCCTTATATTATACATATTGTAACTTCATAAATAAATTTTACTCACCCTTTTAAAACTAGACAATTACAATGTCTTATTTTTTATTTTATGAATTACAGTACAGTAAACCTCTCATTAACAGATTTCGGCAGTTTTGGACAAAAACTGACCGGACAAATGCTCTAATTATTGGGCAAAATAGACAAAAGTATAATTCCATATTTTGTCCATAGTAGTGTCTTGTTGTCTTCTGAAGTATTGGGCCAAGTCTGCTAACTCTGACATTTGTCTGGTGTGAGTTAAGGTGTCCATTTTCATTGTTTACTGAGTCATAGGTCACCCTTGCCATTAAATATTGTGCGATGAGTAATGATTTATTCACCATACATTATTTTAGTGTGGCTTAAAACAGGCTGTACTCTACAAGGAAAGGGAATTGCTTTGATGCCGATGAAAGGTTTTTGCTCCAAGAAATTGGATATATATTGTGTTCCCTTGGGTTAAACCCGATTACTTCCCATTTCTCAAGCATTTTATGACTGCTACGTGTTTAGAGCTTCTCCATGTCAATTCTGGCTGTGGAGAGTACTACTTGACTTGTTCTATGAATTAGCTAGCATCCATATCTTCAATAAAACATAGAGTATATTGTTTTTATTATGTATTCTATTGTTTTTACTTTCTTAGATTTATGGAGGCATGAGGGTGGGTGACCAGAGGTGACACATCTGTGACTTGACCTGACCCAACCTGACTCAACTTGTCCTGTGTTCCTTTGTGAGTGGTTTGACTGCTCTTTTAATGTCATCCAAACTCTTAATATCTTGAGTTTGTTAAATTGAAGTTAGGATTTATTGTAAAAGATAACTAAAAGAGTGTAGTATTGTACTGTGTGTTGTTGGAGTGAAGATTGAGCCCCCATATACAGGTAACTATGCAGTAAGGTGTATAGTGTACTTTAGGGCATGGCATTTGAAATTAGCTTAGTAGGATATGGCAGTTGTTGTAATGGTGGTAATAGTATAGTATAGTAGTAAAGTATTAGGAACACCAGTATATGTACTAATACTTATCAGGGTGCAAGTAATGGCTTCATCTATATATCAGGGTAATGAAATGTGGCCTCCTTAGGGCTATTTCCAGTGTATATTACATAAACCTTATTTTCTCACAAACACTGACTAACACTATTTCTCAGTGCACTGTGTTCACCCACAACACCCAGGTCCCTATTTGGCTGCTTGGTGAACAGGAGCAGCTGGTGTAAGAAAGCCTTACCATGTTTCTTACCCCCTCCCTTCTCCTTCAAGAAGAAAGTCCACAACATTCGATTAACAGTAAGATCCCTGTTAACCCTTAAACTGCCAAATCGTAGATCAGCGTTGATGTGAGTACCAGCTCTGTGTATTTTAGAAAAAAAAAAACTTTTTTTATAAAGTGAAAGAGAATTTTTCCCGGCATCCTCAAATTTGTCCATACCTGCACACACTGAGTGCATCAGACTCATTCTCTCTTGTCTAGGCCAACTCAGGCTTATTGGGGCCAAAGTTGAAAGCATGTAAAAAAAATGTAAGATCTACATCGAAGCGCTACGCACTGAACTGTAGCTCTAGGGTTGGACATTTAAGGGTAACAACTAGGTGAAAATGGGTTAACATGTATAAAAGGATTGCTCAGTATGTTACCCACAGCAGCTGACTAAAGTGCTGGTAACACCCATTTACTACTAGGACACATGGGAAACAGGTAAAGGAGACTTGCCATATCATATTACCCACCTGGCATTGAACCTGATATTTTCAGGTTGTGAACCACATTGCTCTGCCCTGAGCCCCAGATCGTGTATATTGAATGCTGGGAGAATGTTATAGATGATGAGAACTTGCCAAGCGAATGGCCTTGGCAGAGATTGTGCATGTGCTTTATATCCATGATGGAATGCTTGTAAAGCCAACCACTTTTTCAAACAGAGTGAGTGGATTTTCTACAAAGTGCCATTCATGTATTCATTGTCACCGCTGATCTATCTAGGCTGAAGTATTAGCATGATTCAGTGACAGTTTCCGTCATTCTTTCTTCTCAATTTTCAATTATGTTTTCAATTTTCTTCCAGATTTTCATTGGCATTTATAATTACCTTATCAGGAAAAATGGAAAATTACAGTTACTATGCTTATATTTTGTATTGAATTAATTCCTCAATTACTCAAGTTTTACCTAATGTTGAAATCACTCTTCAGTGTCCCAAAATAATATTCAATCATCTTGCTTCATTTTTATTTAAATGTACATGCTGAACAAAATGTACAAGAATTTTCCACTAGTTATATTTTCATAAGAGGCAAACGATTGGATAACATATTCATTAAATTTGTTACAAATTAAATCAAGCCAATATACAGAAAAGATTCAAATAACTGGACAAGTTTCTTTTCACACAATGTACTTTGTTAGATCTAAGACAAAATGTTTATAATATTTTTCTTTCACTACAACTTAAACAAAAGAAAACTACACCTGTAACCTGAACAAAATTAGAACAATTGTTGCAGAAAGTTGCAAATGAGTTACATCACAGCATGTAAAATAATGAAATTAATATTGACTTGAATGATACACAATTACTCAGATTACAGCCACTTGCACATTACAGTTCATTAAGATTAAAGCATGGAAGGCACTTATAAGTTTCTTGGTTGTAGTTAATATGGAGAAGTTTGGCAGAGAGTTTGCAGAGGCCCTAGCTATCTTTACTGGATTAAAAAAATTCCTGCAGTGGCAAAATATCTTATGATGCGAAGTGGCTGTGCAGTCCATTATTCTTGCAATTTTCTTCAGAAGAACACTTGAAGGTGGCCTGTGGCCTGGTAGGCAACACTTTCACTTCACATGCTGAATGTCTGAGGTTCCGATCCTGGCAAGGGTAAGAAACAATGGCATGTCTCCTTACACCTGTTGTCCCATCCATCCTAGCAAGCAAGTAAGGTACTGTACCTGGTGTTATTTGACTGTGTGGGTTACATCCTGGGGGACAAGATTGAGGACCCAATAGAAATAAACAGATCATCTGGGCCGGGACCCGGGGGGTGGTATCCTGGGGCTAACCCTTCATTAGGTTAAAAATACGACCAAAACTTATCTTAAGGAGAATCCCTTCTGTAGCCAAGGGATTATGTCAGATGGAGCACAGTTCTCTATATGAATACTTTTTCAAAGCTTTTCTAGCTCTTAGTGTTGATTGTGTTACCTCCATCTGAAGAGAGCATTTGTTCTTAGATTTGGTAATTCATCCTTGTGGACAAATTTCACACACTTAGTCTCAATTCACTTGGCAACAAGGGGTCACATCTGAATGCAAAGTTATGTACGATTTGACATATACTTGCAGTGCTTTTCATTTTGTCATTAACTCCTCCCCTTGACGAGTCCAGCAGTATAGTGTAGATACAACACATGACATTACTTGCAGGCGTTCAGAAACGCAGTGTACGATCGAAGAATAAGAAATAATGGGGATTACAATTTTTTTTTTTCTTCCAACTTAATGTTAAACATTTCTTAATAACCGTTACCTTTCTTGAGGGTATGAATCTACATAACTATAATCCCGGTTATACTTTTTTGAACGAGACAGCTGCAAGAGTTGATCAACATATTAAATTACGTGGATACTGTACTGTTGAAAAAATCGAGAGGACCCGTTTAGTGGTTAGCATCTTGGTTAAATTAGGATATACTTTTAAAAATTTCATGTGGAATGAAGATAACATTCTTGCAAAAGAACTAACAACGTCGCATGGACAACTAGTAATAGGACTGGATATTTTCCCCCGAGACAGCATATATAGAGTCAATTCTCTACATAGGATATTAAGCAGCAATATTCCAAACAATTTTAGCTGGAGATTTTTAATGCTCATCACCCTGCCCTCTTTAACTGTGGAGCTGGTATTCTCACTGTGATTTAAAAGGAAAACAACTCTTTAAAAATATCATGACAGCTAGAAACTTGTCATTTCAAGGCCACTTTCTTCAAATCGTACATCGACCTCCATCCAGGAACACCAGATATTGTACTGACAAACAGAGACTGTGCACATCTTTCACTACCGTATAACTCCTGGTGGAAATGTAGGATCTGACCATATCCCTGTTATAATACAACTACAAACTTCCCCATTTAGAATACCTGTAACTCCTAAACCCAATTTAACACCCTAGGATTTGGCCCCCTTCAGGGCATATCTGGGTGAAGATGAAAGGGTGTCTTTGGAAAATCTCCCTTCCCAGTGCAATTGATGATGCAATCAGGTCCCTGCACAATCGAATAATTGAAGCTACCAATGCAACTTTGCCAATTAGCTTCACAAAGATATCCCAACAATACAAACCTACTAGAGAAATTAGAGACACTTTAAAAAAATTATAAAAGCAGAAGTCGAGGCATCTTCAAACACGACAACCACCAGCAGCTACACTGCACCGATTAAGGCACGAATTAATTAACATGATTAGTCAACACAAAACGAGACATATGGAAATTTCCCTAGTTCTTCAAGCTAATCAATATAAACGTGAACCAGAAAAATTTTTGGATTAAGATCCGACAACTTTTAGGGGCAAAGCACAAGGCTCCTAATTTACCTAGTTTCATACCTTCATGATGAGGATGATGAAGATGTTAAAATTAACTTGACGATCCACAGGACCAGGCTAATTTGATGGTGAGTATGGGAGAAAATTCTCTCTCCACAATAACAGTCGTAAATTTTAAATAAAAAATCATTATCAGTTAGTAAATGAATGGAGAGATGAGAACTTGGATGATCTACAACCACTACCTACCATCGATCTTCAACTTTTGAAGATACCCACCCGCTTACTAGACCTATTACATTACTAGAGATAAGTCAGGTTATTGGGAAGAATGAGAAATAGAGCCCTGGCCTCTCTGGAATAACAATGAAACAAATAAAGTACCTACTAGAAATTGCAAACAGTCCTTGGGTAAATGTCTTTAATGCCTCTTGGCCTCGGACATTTTCCAGTTGTTTTTAAGACTGCTAGAATGATCTTTCTTGCTAAGCCAATAAAGAATCCACCAACCTGGGAACTATAGACCAAAATCTTTACTTGAAGTCACTGGAAAGTTCTTGAGAAGTCATTTCCAACAGATTGAATTACTATATGGAGTTTAATCACTTGTTTACTGAAAAACAATTTGGCTTTAGAACACATAGAGGTACCAATCATGCAATAAATGTTATTTTGACACTGTAGCAAGTCTTTAAAAAAGCAGGGCAATCTTGCCTTAATTGCCACCAGAGATGTTCATAAAACTTTTGATAGCTTATGGCATGATGGCCTTATATACAAACTCATTGACCTACCAGACCCTAACTGGACTTTTTTCAGAGTAATTTATAATTTCTTAACTCAAAGAAAATCATTCCCACCTTTCATGGCAAGTCGACAGAACCTTTTATACGACGGCTGGTGTCCCACAAGGTTCTTGTCTCAGTCCACTTCTGTTTAACATTTATGTGAATGACCTTCCCCAACCAGAGTTTAATGACACAATTGTGACACAGTTTGCAGATGATGTTATTCATGTCGTCTCATCACTCCAGTAACAGGAAAATACAAGTATGAGAGAGTCATAGAAAAATGAAATTGAACTTCGTCGAACATCTAATTTGGAGAAGAAATGGAGAATTATGACTAATCCTGACAAGGTCCTTGTTAGCACGATAGGATGTTTTGCATCAACCATCGAGA